AGTAACCAAAAAAAGTGTTCAACAAATCAAAATAGGTGAAGCTGGTTGAGAGAATGCCAAGAGTGTGCAAAGCTGTCATCAAGGCAAAGGGTGCCTACTTTGAAGAATCTCAAATATAAAATATATTTTGATTTGTTTAATACTTTTTTGGTTACTACATGATTCCATATCTGTTATTTCATAGTTTTGATGTCTTCAGTATTATTCTACAATGTAGAAAATAGTAAAAAAATAAAGAAAAACCCTGGAATGAGTAGGTGTGTCCAAACTTGACTGGTACTGTATGTGCTGCTGGTATTGCTTTCTTTTGCTTAAAAAACTATATTTTCATGGACCATATATGGTGATACATGTGGGTCAAATCATGTGGGAGAACATTTTGTCTTTGAACCGTTTGCTACTGGTCATCACTAGCTTCCACAGACACAAAGTCATAATTATGGATAAACCCCGCCCATTTATAAAAAAAATCAAATTAATCTTAACATTTTAAACACCTTAACCACACCGCTAAACTTATGCATAACCCTAACCTTAAATTAAGAACAAAATGCTCATGTTTTACTTTCTGTTTGTGGAACCTTTAAATTAAGAACAAAATGTTCCTTTTTTACTTCGTGGCTGTGGAATCTGACTTTGTGGATGTGGAACCTGACTTTGTGGATGTGGAATCTGACTTTGTGGATGTGGAATCTGACTGTGGCTATAGAAGCTGGTGGAAACCTTTGCTACTCACCTGAAAAATATAAATAATGACGACTCGTAATTACATTCTGACTTGTAAAGGGATGTTCAGGCATGCTGAGCCTACTTGTTAGAGAGGAGTCTTTCACTCTAGGATTCTAAAAGAGGCTACATTTTACAAAGGTTTACCTGCTCCACTGTGGCTGGGTCCTCAGACTGCAGTCTCGAAGCATTCTCGTACTCATCTTCACTGTTGTAACCTGCACCTTCCTCCGAATCAGCACTGGGACCTCCGCCGCCACCTCCACCTCCGCCGGGTGTTCCACCACCAGCCACACCAGAGCAGGTTGCTTGTCGTCGCCTTTTACTCAGACCAGGCCCCGAACAGCAACTTCCAATTCCTCCACCACAGCCAACGCTGCCTGACAGTTCTCCGCGTGTCCCAGCAACGCATTGTATTCCTCCAGTCCCATTCCCATCCCCAGGTCCAACAGGAGAGCCTGAACCCACGGGAGGAGGAGAGGCCTGCTGCGGCCGAGAGCTAGCCTCGTTCCGTCTATCTTCCCTTGCCGAAGTTGGCGCGGCTTGATACGACCATGGCGGCGGCGAGGCCCTTGGTCTTGTACCTGTACGACCTCCGTGAGGATGTTGATGTGTGTCAGAGCCACTTCTTCTGTCAGTTTCGTCCGGGTGGTCCGAAACACCGACACTGGCGTTTGGCTTCTTTTTTGGAAGAATCGTCATGGTTGTCTGTTAGGGAGGGGGTAAAAGGGGTGACGATTCTTCCTTTCCAGAATGTAGTACGCCTACTTTGCCGTTTGGGACGTCCGTTTTTGTGCAATATTCGACCTTAAACACGTACGTGACAAAATATATCAATATAATCTGTTATTGGCTTTGTTTTCTGGGGATACGCGAACAAAAACAAACCTTCTCCCTCTTCCCGTCCTCCAAGCTCTCCAGTCCCCCACAAAAAATCAACACAGACCTGACGACACAGGAACGTCACTTCCCCATTGCGACAGCTTTTTTCACGTTGGACGCTTTCCGTCCTCAATGGTCTTTCTGCCTAGCAACCATAAAATCGCCCTTTGATGAGAACAAAGAATTAGCTATGTAAAATAGAAATATTAATTTAATTTGTTTTCTTTATTGATCCAGGTATAATTGAGTAAGTGTTTTTTTGTCCTGCAAGAGACCACAGTAAATGTTTCCCTTTATGATTATTGGACAGACATAATTGTTATTTGATTTTCATTCATAAAGCATACTACTTTATTTGAGTGATTGGGCATAGGGGCCCCATGGGATCTAGTCAATTGCGTCAGTATTCACCGCTGAAATAGTAGGTCTAGCTAACCCACGGGGGGCCAGTATAAAAAAAAAAAATATGTATTCACTAACTGTAAGTCGCTCTGGATAAGAGCGTCTGCTAAATTACTAAAATGTAAATGTAAAAAAACTTTTTGCAAAGATGTTTAGATATGCTCCAAGTCCCAATGCACAAACCTTACTGTATATACTCTTCTTGATCATGTTAACGAACGTGCATAGGCTATATTTCCTATGTTAGGCTTACAGAATGGATGAGCTGGGTCATCACATCTCATATCAACTTAAGTTCTTTCTGGATAAATAAAGTAATTATATTCTATAGGCCTACCTCACACATAATGTTATGCACATTTTTTTATAATATAATAATATGCCATTTAGCAGACGCTTTTATCCAAAGCGACTTACAATCATGCGTGCATACATTTTTTGTGTATGGGTGGTCCCGGGGATCGAACCCACTACCTTGGCGTTACAAGCGCCGTGCTCTACCAGCTGAGCTACAGAGGACCACAAATTCTTTATGCTATTCATTGTGGAAAGAACATTTAGAACATTGACAAAGGACCTGTAGTTCCTAAAATAATCAAATGGTTATTATGCGGCCCTGCCTTACCTTCACAATTTATTAATAATTTCACTCTGAAAAAATATGAAATATAGTGTTTATTGAGGTAGAGTTACTTGCTATTTTATCATATCCACAATTACAAAGAATCGCTTGGTCTTCTCTCTTCTTATCTCATCTCCACAGGTAGCATATACACATCATTCTTGTGTTGCAGCTTTATAAAATGTGCATTTCGAGAGTTTGGGACTATATGGGTTCTATCTGCAAAAATATGATTCTGAGATAATTGGCTTTAAAGTTCCGAACCCGTCATTAGTTTGAATGGTGTCTGCCATTTTTATATTGTATTCTTTTGAACTTAACATAAGTACTACTGTATATAGGTAGAGGACATTGAACAGAACAAGGCAATGTCAATAACTCAATTTTGACAAAAATGCAGATAGAACCTTATAGTCCCAAGCTCTCAATTTACTAAGCCTTGAAATGTTTTCTCTTTCATATTACAATAAAAGAGTGTACCATTATTTGTCCAACAATAGAACAATTAATACAGGAAATAAAAAATAAATGGGATACTGATTTTTTTCACGTCAAGAAATACATTTCTTCAGAAAGTGACCTTCCATTAACTATTGATCACAGACCAATATGTCTAAAGTGTTGAGAAATAGTAATGGTTTAATTCAAATATAACAAAATGCTTTATAATATATGTCAAGTTTAATAAAATGATATGCTTCAGCATTTGAAACATTGCACTGTACTTTTTTTCATGAACTGATGCCACTAGAGAGCACGTTTTAGTCCATAACATTTCATTTAGTGATTCAGTCTATTGCTACAGCATTTTGATAGATCAAATATATTTTCAGCCTCTTTATGTAACTATACACACAAAGAATGTGTCTGAAATTGTATTTTCTTGGCTTTATGATTTTGAATAGCTCAATATATTCATTTAAAACTGATTTGTGATTCATATGTATCATATTCATAATCAATCATGAAATAAACAAATATGTAAACACATAAATAACATGTTGAGATGTTTCATCAGGTTATAAAATAAATACGCAGTTTCTTACATCTAATGCAAAACCATGTAATGTGTTAAAATCTTGTGTTTCATCTTTGAGTTAAAAACCAGTATTACCTGAAAACGTTTTCCAGATATTTAATGCTCAAGCTGTCGATTCTTGTTTGAAATATTTTGGTACAGGGAAGATATTTGGATGTGCATAGTCCAACAACTAAGTGCATTGGATTTTGAATACATATTAAATTTTTAATAGGTTCACTTGTACTGTATGACATGGTTTAATACGTTTAAAAAAACGTTCAAACAAAAATAGTGCAATCTTATGCAGTAACTGGCCATACCGTGTGACCTTAAATTGCTATATTCTAGAAATGTATTTCTAAAGAAAATAAATATATAACGTGTATGCCGTAATTACCCACCATAATATACAGTAGATAGCATTAAATGTTGCATTGTGTGTGAAGGAAAATGCATGGTGTCATTGACACTTAACTGTCCATGCAGTGAATCTCAAAAAGGGTTAAACTCTGCATGACTTCATCATGATCTAGGTCTTATAATGAACAAGTTTAAAAAACATGAGGTTAATATTCATGCATAGGCTTACTATAATGCAACTCTTTCAATTCTAAAATAAAATGAGAAACTAAATAGATATTGAACAAATGAGCAAATTAATAAATAAACATACATTCAAATGCAGTTTTTTTCTTCATGTGTAATCTTACAGTAATAAATGCATAATACATGCAATGCCAGACATCTATCATTGCATTTATTTCCTTATTTTATATTCATGGGCTGTTAAAGCTATGAAATAGGGTAAGTTCTGTTATGAGTAACCCTCTAAAGAAGAAAGAACAACAGGATATGACCCCAAGTAGAAGAAACATGTTTGTTGTCAGCGTATACACCTGCATATTTTTAGTAGTGAAAGGAGAGAAGGGGTGCCTGATTAAATACTCAGAGCACAGGAAGAACATGCAGGTAGACATGCAAGAAATCCTAAGCAGTGATTTGGAATTAGTAAGCAGCAGTGAACAGGTCTTGACCTAAGCACTCTTGCAAAAAATTGTTATGGTTTCTGTTCATATTTAATGAAACATCATCTAGAAAGTTAATTATATAAACAATTAGGTATATTACATGCTTGATGTTACAATGTACTACTGTGGAGGTGTGTTTGGCTGTGGACACTTCAAACCTGGCCCACTCTGCATATTTCCTTATGTAACATAACTGCATTACAATTGGATCATTATTCAACAGGACAACTAAGTGTGCTTCAGCTAGAGATCTGCAGTCTAAAAATACAGTATGTTTTCACAATTACATATTTTTTCCATCTATGTACTTTGACCTTCATTACCACATGTTAGTCTTTGAGGTGTCTATCTGAGAGTTCTGGGGATCTACTGGACCCCCTTTCTCAGTCTCATTCTCCTACAGGTTGATCAGGGGAGGATAGAGCTCGTTTAGGGGGATGTAGGAGGCATACTGCATCTATTTCTTCAGGGAGTGGTGGCAGGATTTCTGCTTCATAATGTCTACCTGCCCATGTAGAAGACCAGCAGGGCCATGATGCAGATAGCAAATATGGAGCCCATGACAGTTGCCACGTTGGTGGGTTGGGAGTGGATGATCTTAGCCAGGACCTGTGGTCTTCACCGTGTGCCCCCTACATTCTGCCTGCCACCGTGCCAGTATATTTTCTCCAAATACACTGACATACTGTTTGTGTCTGCCCCCTCTGTGTTCCAAGCCACGCATGTGGATCTCCAGAGCCCCCTGTTCCTGCAGTCTGTGTTTCTTTGTGTTCCTGCCATCCACCATAACTGCCGAGACAGCCTCAGAGGTCACCTTGTCTCCTGTTGGCAACAGCCCAACACTCCAGAGTCAGGGGTTGCCAGCAGTGACATTGAGCAGAGGGGGGAATGTGTGGACGGAGATGTGAGGGATGCAGGTGTTGTTGACAACATCCCAGCTGGTGGTGACCACTTCCTGGAGGGCATGGCCAACTATATGGGGAGAAGAGGCACAGAGGGTGATCTGGGACTCCAGCAGCTTGAAGGTGGACTGGTTCACCAGGACTGGGCCCCAGTTAGAGAGGCAGTCACACCTGAGGGGATTGCTGTGGAGGCTCACTTCATCCAGGCTGGGGAAAGAGGATAAAACCTCATGTGACAAGAGGCTGATGTCGTTGTTGTGGACTAATAACGTGTACAGGCCGCCCATGTCAATGAAAGCTGCATGATCAATGTAAGCTAAATGGGGGTTATTATACATTTCCAGTTTTTCCATCTCTGGGAGGTTGGAGAACGCCGCCCTCTTAATGGCAACCAGTTCCTCCATGTTGTTGAGACTCAACTCCTCCAGATGGGGAAGGCATGGAAGTCTCCCTCCTGCACACAGGCAATGGGATTCTTGTTGAGGTTTAAAAACTTCAGATTTGGTAGGACCCATAGGGCATCTTTGGGGACTGCTGTTAGCTTGTTATCAAAGGACAAACTCTCCAGGTACCCCAACCCCTGGAAGGCTCCTGCGGGGATCTCCCTGAGGTCCATGCCAGCCAGCATCAGACTGTGCAACTTTGACAAGGAGTAGAAGTGCATATCCTGTAACCACAGGATAGGTTCTCCCCTATCATGAGGATCTCCAGGTTAGGTGAGACTCAAACCAGTGGCTGTCTATGGCCACCAGTTTGTTGGAGTTGAGATGGAGCCTCAGGAGGTTTCTCGGACTGGAGAAGGCTTTAGGCCCAATGGAGGAGATTTGGTTGTGGTTGATGTAAAGCTCTTCCAAACTGTCAAGATCTTTCAGACAGTAATCTTGCAGTTCCTGGTTTTCCTCAAGGTAGAGAGTGACAAGCTGGGGCATTGTCACGATCGTCGTAGTAATGAGTAGACCAAGGCGCAGCGTGAGAAACAAACATGACTTTAATTAGTTAAAGTTTCAAAACAAAACACGACTCGTGAAGTCCACGGTGACAATGACCGAACACGGAACAAAAACCCACAAACCCAAAGTGAAACACAGACAGTTAAATATGGCTCCCAATCAGAGACAACCAGCAAACAGCTGACACTCGTTGCCTCTGATTGGGAGTCACTCAGTCAAACATAGAAAATGACGAACTAGAACACCCAACATAGAAACAGAACACATAGAATGAACACACCCTGGCTCAACATAATGAGTCCCAGAGCCAGGGTGTGACAGTACCCCCCCCTAAAGGCGCGGACTGCGACCGCGCCTCAACTAAACAAAACAGGGGAGGGCTGGGCGGGCATACCTCCTCGGTGGCGGTTCTGGCTCCGGCCTTGACCACCACCCTCCAATACACCCCCCATAGTGCCCCTGGTCCAGTCTGTCGACTTGCACCCCTGGCTTGGTGCGTGGAGGAGGAACGGGCCTTACCAGGCTGACTTCTCGCACCCCTGGCTTAGTGCGAGTGGCAGGAACAGGCCGGACCGGGCTGGCGACGCGCACCGTAGGTTTGGTGCGAGTGGCAGGAACAGGCCGGGTCGGGCTGGCGACGCGCACCGTAGACTTGGTGCGGGTGGCAGGAACAGGCCGGGTCGGGCTGGCGACGCGCACCGTAGACTTGGTGCGGGTGGCAGGAACAGGCCGGACCGGGCTGGCGACGTGCACCGTAGGTTTAGTTCGTGGAGCAGGGACAGGCCGGGCTGGGCTGTCGACGCACACCGTAGGCTTGGTGCGTGGAGCAGGGACAGGCCGGGCTGGGCTGTCGACGCACACCGTAGGCTTGGTGCGGGTGGCAGGAACAGGCCGGGCTGGGCTGTCGACGCACACCGTAGGCTTGGTGCGTGGAGCAGGAACAGGCCGGACCGGGCTGGCGACGCACACCGTAGACTTGGTGCGTGGAGCAGGGACAGGCCGGGCTGGGCTGTCGACGCACACCGTAGGCTTGGTGCGGGTGGCAGGAACAGGCCGGGCTGGGCTGGCGACGCACACCGCAGGCTTGGTGCGTGGAGCAGCAACTGGCCGGACTGTGCTGGCGACGCACACCGTAGGCTTGGTGCGTGGAGCAGGGACAGGCCGGGTTGGGCTGGCGACGCACACCGTAGGCTTGGTGCGTGGAGCAGCAACTGGCCGGACTGGGCTGGCGACGCACACCGTAGGCTTGGTGCGTGGAGCAGGGACAGGCCGAACCGGGCTGTGGAGACGGATAGGAGGCCTGGAGTGAATAGCGGCCACCACCCGTCCTGGCTGAATGCCTACCCTCACACACTCTGTGTGAGGCATCCGCACAGGACGTACAGGGCGGTGTACCCCTGGCCTGGTGGCCTTCTGGATCCGCCCCCTTTTCTCCTCCGTCAGCCCCGTCGTCCATGCCGTGTGCCCCCCCCTAAAAATTTTCTGGGGTTGCCTCACGACCGTCCGACGACGACCCTGATCACGCCGTAGCTCCTCTCTACGGCGCGCCTCCACCGTCTCACTCCATGGCCGGCGATCCATCCCGGCCAGGATTTCCTCCCAGGTCCAGGACCCCTGCCCGTCCAAGATCTGCTCCCACGTCCAGGCTGCCTGCTCCTGGACACGCTGCTTGGTCTTGGTATGGTGGGTTTTTCTGTCACGATCGTCGTAGTAATGAGTAGACCAAGGCGCAGCGTGAGAAACAAACATGACTTTAATTAGTTAAAGTTTCAAAACAAAACACGACTCGTGAAGTCCACGGTGACAATGACCGAACACGGAACAAAAACCCACAAACCCAAAGTGAAACACAGACAGTTAAATATGGCTCCCAATCAGAGACAACCAGCAAACAGCTGACACTCGTTGCCTCTGATTGGGAGTCACTCAGTCAAACATAGAAAATGACGAACTAGAACACCCAACATAGAAACAGAACACTAGAATGAACACACCCTGGCTCAACATAATGAGTCCCAGAGCCAGGGTGTGACAGGCATGTTATGCAGTCCAATGTCTTGGATCTGCGTGAAGTGGTCCTCTGTAGCTCAGCTGGTAGAGCACGGCGCTTGTAACACCAAGGTAGTGAGATCAATCCCCGGGACCACCCATACACAAAAATGTATGCACGCATGACTTGTACGTCGCTTTGGATAAAAGCGTCTGCTAAATGGCATATTATTATTATTATTATAATAAAGTGGTTTTGGGAGAGGTCCAGCTCAGTGAGGTTGATTAGACTCTCGAGCTCCACAGACACAGAGGATATGTTGTTACTCTGGAGGAGAAGCACCTGAGTGTCACCTGAAATTTTCCACGGGACCCCACTAAGGTGGAGCTCATTGCAGTCCACCGTCTTCGCCTGATGGTATACAGATTGAGGAGTGTACCATGGACGTGTTTCACATACACACTGCGCTGGGCAGAGAGAACAAGCTTCCGAACGTTGACATGAGGTCACCATCAGAAAGACAGTCATCAATGGAGCACAGATCCTAGATCCTCCCATGGTGCAGTAGAATAAGGTAACCTTGGTAACCCTGTGACGGCCAAAACACTTACTTCCTCTACTAGCAGGATGGAGCTTTGGTCATCTAGTCTTGTAAAAAGAAAAATACAAAAACATAATGCATATTAATGCATTTGACATGGTAATTACAGTCACTAGTGAAAGTCTACATACCTCTTGCACAGTCTTCACATTTTGCTGCCTTAGAATACAATCATGAAAGGGATTTAATTGGATTTTCAAAGTAAAAAGATAAATTATAGAAAAATTATAGAACATTTTCCAAATTACTAAAATAAAAAAAAAGGAGGATGTATTGATTGCGTATGTCTTCACACCCCAGAGTTAATACTTGGTGGAAGCACCTTTGGCAGCCATTACAGCTGTGAATCATTTTAAATAAGATTCTACCAATCTTGCACAACTCTTAGGCCAACATTGTTATTGGTATTGGTATTTATTAGGATCCCCATTAGCCACTGCAAAAGCATCAGCTACTCTTCCAAGGGGTCCACATGAAACATGACATAATATATAGTACAGAACATTATTAGTCAAGGACTGAAATACATACATTTAAAAGGATATTTAAAGCCTACATATCAGTACATACACACAATATCTAAGTCTAATACATAGTACAGTGAAAATTACAATACAATATATATAAAACTGGTTTTATTGCTAGCTTGAGTTACCTGGGGTGTCAGAGAGTTCAAATCAAATCACATTTTATTTGTCACATACAGTGAAGGAAAAAAGTATTTGATCCCCTGCTGATTTTGTAAGTTTGCCCACTGATAAAGCATGATCAGTCTATAATTTTAATGGTAGGTTTATTTTAACAGTGAGAGACAGAATAACTATAAAATAATCCAGAAAAACGCATGTCAAAAATGTTATAAATTGATTTGCATTTTAATGAGGGAAATACGTATTTGACCCCTCTGCAAAACATGACTTAGTACTTGGTGGCAAAACCCTTGTTGGCAATCACAGAGGTCAGATGTTTCTTGTAGTTGGCCACCAGGTTTGCACACATCTCAGGAGGGATTTTGTTCCACTCCTCTTTGCAGATCTTCTCCAAGTCATTAAGGTTTCGAGGCTGACGTTTGGCAACTCAAACCTTCAGCTCCCTCCACAGATTTTCTATGGGATTAAGGTCTGGAGACTGGCTAGGCCACTCCAGGACCTTAATGTGCTTTTTGAAGACTTCAAGATTTGACGGTACATGGCCCCGTCTATCGTCCCTTTGATGTGGTGAAGTTGTCCTGTCCCCTTAGCAGAAAAACACCTCCAAAGCATAAAGTTTCCACCTCCATGTTTGACGGTGGGGATGGTGTTCTTGAGGTCATAGGCAGCATTCCTCCTCCTCCAAACATGGCGAGTTGAGTTGATGCCAAAGAAATCGATTTTAGTCTCATCTGACCACAACACTTTCACCCAGTTCTCCTCTGAATCATTCAGATGTTCATTGGCAAACTTCAGACGGCCCTGTATATGTGCTTTCTTGAGCAGTGGGACCTTGCGGGCGCTGCAGGATTTCAGTCATTCATGGCGTAGTGTGTTACCAATTGTTATCTTGGTGACTATGGTCCCAGCTGCCTTGAGATCATTGACAAGATCCTCCCGTGTAGTTCTGGGCTGATAGTAGTTCTGGGCCGAATAATCACACCAACTGTTGTCACCTTCGCACCAAGCTGCTTGGCGATGGTCTTGTAGCCCATTCCAGCCTTGTGTAGGTCTACAACCTTGTCCCTGACATCCTTGGAGAGCTCTTTGGTCTTGGCCATGGTGGAGAGTTTGGAATCTGATTGATTGATTGCTTCTGTGGACAAGTGTCTTTTATACAGGTAACAAGCTGAGATTAGGAGCACTCCCTTTAAGAGTGTGCTCCTAATCTCAGCTCGTTACCTGTATAAAAGACGCGTGGGAGCCAGAAATCTTTCTGATTCAGAGGGGGTCAAATACTTATTTCCCTCATTAAAATGCAAATCAATTTATAAAAATGTTGACGTGTTTTTCTGGATTCTTTTGTTGTTATTCTGTCTCTCACTGATCAAATAAACCTACCATTAAAATTATAGACTGATCATTTCTTTATCAGTGGGCAAACGTACAAAATCAGCAGGGGATCAAATACTTTTTTTAGCAGATGTTATAGAGGGTGTAGTGAAATGCTTGTGCTTCTACCTCTGACAGTGCAGTACTATCTAACAAATAATATCTAACAATTTCAAGACATATACCTAATACAAACAAAACTAGTAAGAAATGGAATTTAAGAAAATATACATATTTGGACAAGCATGGACTAAGATACAGTAGAATATTATAGAATATAATGCAGTATATACATATGAGATGAGTAGTGCAAGATATGTAAACATTATTAAAGTGACTGTAAACATTATTAAAGTGACTAGTGTTCCATTTCTTAAAGTGGCCAGTGATTTCAATAGGCAGCAGCACCCTCTAATGTGCTTTTGATGGCTATTTAACAGTCTGATGGCCTTGAGATTGAAAAACAGCTTCTTTCTCTCGGTCCCAGCATTGATGCACCTGTACTGACCTCGCCTTCTGGATGATAGCGGGGTTAACAGGCAGTGGCTCGGGTGGTTGATGACCTTGATGATCTTTTTGGCTTTCCTGTGACATCGGGTGCTGTACGTGTCGGAGGGCGGGTAGTTTGCCCCCGATAATGCGTTCGGCAGACCACACCACCCTCTGGAAAGCCCTGCGGTTGCGGGCGGTGCAGTTGCCATACCAGGTGGTGATACAGCCCGACAGAATGCTCTCAATTGTCCATCTGTAAAAGTTTGTGAGGGTTTTAGGTGACAAGCCGAATTCCTTCAGCCTCCTGAGGTTGAAGAGGCTCTGTTGCGCCTTCTTCACCACACTATTCAGAAGGGAGCTGAGCACTCACCCTTGTGGGGCCCCAGTGTTGAGGATCAGCGAAGTGGAGATGTTTTTTCCTACCTTCACCACCTTGGGGCGGCCGTCAGGAAGTCCAGGACCCAGTTGCACAGGGCGGGGTTCAGACCCAGGGCCTCAAGCTTGATGATGAGCTTGGAGGGTACTATGGTGTTGAATGCTGAGCTGGGAGGGGGCCTTATAACCATCCTGGAAGTTTGAATAGCAATGGTCGAGGATTTTGGCAGTGCGAGTACAACAGTCGATATGTTAATGGTACTTCGGCAGCCGAGTCCTCAAATTTGCTTTGTTAAAATCCCCGGCTACAATAACTGCAGCCTCAGGATATGTGGTTTCCAGTTTGCATAAAGTCCAGTGAAGTTCTTTGTTGGCCGTCGTGGTATCTGCTTGAGGGGGGATATACACGGCCGTGACTATAACCGAAGAGAATTCTCTTGGGAGATAATATGGTTGGCATTTGATTGTGAGATATTCTAGGTCGGGTGAACAAAAGGACTCGAGTTCCTGTATGTTACTACAATTACACCATGAGTCGTTAATCATGAAACACACACCTCCGCCCTTCTGCTTCCCGGAGAGATATTTAGTCCTGTCTGTGCGATGAACTGAGAGCCCTTCTGGTTGGACCGATTTCGACAGAATATCCCAAGAGAGCCATGTTTCCGTGAAACAAACTATCTTACAGGCCTTGATGTCTCTCTGGAAAGAAATCCTTGCCTGGAGTTCGTCGATCTTGTTCACCAAAGACTGAACATTAGCGAGTAGTATACTTGGAAGCGGTGGGTGGTGTGCGCACCTCCTAAGTCGAACCAGCAGGCCGCTCCGAGTGCCTCTCCTCCGCTGGCGATGTTTTGGGGCAGCCGCTGGAATCAGTTCAGTTGCCCTGGAGAGAGCAAACAAAGGATCTGCTTCGGGAAAGTCGTATTCCTGGTGAGGAATAATGCTGGTGAGTTACCACCGCTCTGATATCCAATAGTTTTTCCCGGCTGTATGTAATGGGACCATAGTCACCAAGAAAACAATTGGTAACACACTATGCCGTGAAGGACTGAAATCCTGCAGCGCCCGCAAAGTCCCCCTGCTCAAGAAAGCACATATACAGGGCCGTCTGAAGTTTGCCAATGAACATCTGAATGATTCAGAGGAGAACTGGGTGAAAGTGTTGTGGTTAGATGAGACCAAAATAGAGCTCTTTGGCATCAACTCAACTCGCCGTGTTTGAAGGAGGAGGAATGATGCCTATGACCGCAAGAACACCATCCCCACCGTCAAACATGGAGGTGGAAACATTATGCTTTGGGGGTGTTTTTCTGCTAAGGGGACAGGACAACTTCACCGCATCAAAGGGACGATGGATGGGGCCATGTACCATCAAATCTTGGGTGAGAACCTCCTTTCCTCAGCCAGGGCATTGAAAATGGGTCATGGATGGGTATTCCAGCATGACAATGACCCAAAACACACAGCCAAGGCAACAAAGGAGTGGCTCAAGAAGAAGCACATTAAGGTCCTGGAGTGGCCTAGCCAGTCTCCAGACCTTAATCCCATAGAAAATCTGTGGAGGGAGCTGAAGGTTTGAGTGGCCAAACATCAGCCTCGAAACCTTAATGACTTGGAGAAGATCTGCAAAGAGGAGTGGGACAAAATCCCTCCTGAGATGTGTGCAAACCTGGTGGCCAACTACAAGAAACGTCTGACCTCTGTGATTGCCAACAAGGGTTTTGCCACCAAGTACTAAGTCATGTTTTGCAGAGGGGTCAAATGCTTATTTCCCTCATTAAAATGCAAATCATTTTATAACATTTTTGACATGCGTTTTTCTGGATTTTTTTGTTGTTATTCTGTCTCTCACTGTTCAAAAAAACCTACCGTTAAAATTATAGACTGATCATTTCTTTGTCAATGGGCAAACGTACAAAATCAGCAGGGGATCAAATACTTTTTTCCCTCACTGTAGGTATCTCTCAATCCACAATAAGGCAGAGGATGCAAATCCATAACACCTACGCTTTTTCAGCAATATGTTTTGATCAATGACTTCAAAAGCTGCATTGAAGTTTAACAAA